ATATTTACTGCAATGATTGGATAACTCGTTAATCATATATTGCAACACAAAGTGCCTGGGAATGGCACACAGCAACAACTTATTATAATTTTCCCCACCACCGATCAATCAGCCCAGCCACATTCAATTATTGTGTAGACATGTATCGCAATGCATACATATCGTATGTACTTCTGACCTATGTATTACCACATTGTGATTTGGCGTGCACAGAGGGCTAGGATCCTCCGATGAGCTTTTTACTAATATCCCATTTTGAACCGAGTACATGGCCCACGCACTTACACAGGCGCAGCTCATTTACCAGTCATATATGCGAGCTGCACTTCCAGGAGACTGGAAGTGGAGTGGGCCGCACTGGTTTGGGCTACGCAAAATGACAATAAAATAGCAAAAAATGGCAAAAAATGGCAAAAAATCCGAAACAAGAGCGCTGTACACGGCAGAAAACAACGAGCGCGAATATAATGCGTTGCTGCTGATGGGCGGTTGCAGATGGCACGCCCTCTTGGGGTTGCCTTTTGGTTGGTCGGCGAGTCTGCGTGACTGCAGCTGAAAAAACGGGCGAAAATTAATAATAAATTGTATAATAATTTCTTTTTTATGGAAAACTGGGCGGGTTGCAGTGGCAAATCCCTTACAAATATGCCATATATTGGCGGAAATCAGCCACGCTAAAATTAAGTACTTGACTTTACATAGCTACAGATGTTTATTATAGCTACAAAAATAGTACTAGGTAGCAAATATATATGCATAGCTAGTCTCGAATAAATCCTGCATCCCTATGAGCAGAATGATAACGAGTACATGTCCATCAGCCAGTGGATAGTATGGAGATCATCCATCGATGAGCGAAGTCCAGATCCAGCTCAAACTGTGAATGATTGGCGCCGCGTGAACAGGCAATGAATCCACTTTTTGTGTGCAAACGCACCTAAAAAAGAATTAAAAACAGAGCAGCGAATGAAATGGCAGACGGAGACGCGGTAGGAGATCCGTATTCCGAAATCCACCGGACAATTGTCCGGCCCACTGGGGTTGGGACAGGGTGCGACAAGGAAAGGGATTGGGGATGGAGTGCATTAATGCACTGCTGCTGCTGCTGCTGCTGCAGCCGCAGTCCACGCACGCTGCAGTTGCTGATTATGTTGATGACGATGCGCAAACATCAAAATAATCGAATAAATTAAAACGCCCGAAGAGGGAAGCACACAAAACTCAATCGACACCCACTGGGTGGTGGCAAATAAGCTGGGGGTGGTTGGGCCACCCATTCGCCATTCGCATTAATAGGGTTGCTAATTATTAACGTTTGCGGCCCAGCAATCCCGGATCCCGGTTGACGGTTCCCGGATCCCGGATCCCGGATCTCCGTTCCCCAAACCCCAAGCCGCGAAACCCATCCACCATTCCGGCCCACTTTTGTGGCTTGGCGCCCAGTGTGTCGACTCTCATAATGAGTTTTTTCTGGCTGCAGTTTTGTTGCTGGGGCTGCGACAAATGCGGCAGTGCGTCGTGTCGGGGCAAAATCAGTTTCGAAAATGCTTTGTCAACAGCAACACACATTCAAAATTTTCGGTTTAGTCGCATAAGTTTTATTTTGCCTGAGTTAGTAGCACTTTACAACTTTGGCTCGCCACTTGGTTCTGTGTTGGAAAATTCTCCTGATTTCCTGCCAAAAGGGAAAGTCCCTGAGTGAGTGAGCCTGTGTGTGTGTGTGTGTGTGTGTGTGTGGGTGCCTGCGCGCCAGTGGGTGTCCAGTCTAAATCTAAGCGCATCCTGCGAGCAGCCCCCAAAAGCCCAGCAGCAGCATCAGTCAGCTCCGCCGCATGGGGATGTGTGTTGTGTTTTGATGTAAATTATGCAAATACTACCCGTATTTCAGCCCTAAACCGCAGTGGGCGCAAGCCCCCCACTCCCCACCGCCCACCGCCTGCCTATTGCTCTATTACGCTGGCGTCGGCGTTGTCGCTGTTGTTGTTGCTGCGGCTGGTGCTTGCGGTTTTGTTTTTGCCGCTAGTTAGCTGCGCTGGCCGATGCATCTGATTAACAAAATTAGTTTAGAAAACTCCGCTCTCGCGTTCGAAACAAACAAATATTGTTCGCTTTTTCGACAAAAATAAAATGACCTGAAGAGAAGTGTTTGCCGCCCGCTTTTATTTTCGTATTACTGAAAGTGCACTACAAAATATTTAAGCCATGGTATGCGAGTAATACGAGTGTACAAGTCCTTAACTTTGACTAAGTGCAAGAAACTTTTAAACAAATGTGCAACTTTTAGAGTGAATTTCTCGTGTTGGAAGCTAATTTTGGATTTACTCTGGGTTTTCCACCAGGGACAGTCTTTTATCCGGAGGCCTGTTCATAAAAATGACCTTAAATGATGGCAATAAGACCTCAGTTAGTAGCTTGTGCGGTCCAGATAGGTCAGTTAATAGTTTCAAGTCCCAGAAAAGTTAGGCCGCTACAGCTCAGGGAAACTACAATGTATCTTTAAACGGCGAGTGGCTGAAAGGAAGTTGCTGCATCCTTTGAAAGTCTTCGGTTCGCTTTAATTTTCATTAGGACTGTGTGCGTGCTCGCCTGTGTTCCCGACCTCGAAGAGTTTTGTTAACCCTTTTGTGATCTATTTTCTAGCTGTGGCATCGGGCATCGTTTCTGTGTCGCGAGAAGAAGAGGCGACTCCCGACGCGACGAAGACTGTTCTTGAATGAAAGTCAAAGTAAAAACGGGCAAACGGCAAAACAACAAAGACCTAAACAAAATACAAAATACAAAACGACACACGAAGCGAAAGGCACGAGGGGGGTCGGTGGGGGCTGGCAGCTAGAAAGTGCGCCGGAGAGCGCCAAACTTTGATAAGGCTAAAGCAAAACAAAACGGAGGGCTTGCTGGCGAAAACGGGGGCCCGTCGCCGGGAAAAACAAACAAGTAGCGCGATCCGTTCGGCTTTCCGTCGCAAGAAGACTACAAGGACGAGAAGGCGAAGAGGAATGGAGCGCGAGAATGAGAGCGACTCGCGGGGGTTGGCGGCAGTGGGCGGCGATGGGCGGCAGTGGGCGCCACTGGGCGGCAGTGGGTGGTGGGGGGCTGCTCAGGTGCGTTACCGGGTTGAATGCACGCCGCGCGAGAGCGAGACAGCCGATTGACGCTGCATTCTCGCGACATTGTCGCTCTCACCCTTCCTCGCTCTCTCATTCTCTCTCTTTGCGCATGCGCAAAGTTCCCAGCCCGTGGATGAGCAAGAGCAGGGTGTGGGGTGGGGGATGGGCGGGGGATGGTGGGTATGGCGTGGGTCATATGTAACACAGGGGATGCGGGGGTGCGGTGGGTTGGGACAGGTGCAATTTATTTATTTATTTCGATTCATTTCCGCTTTTGTGTGGGACTAAATGAAAACTCATTTCCCTTTGATGTGTGCTCCGCTCCTTATTCACTTTTCCTCGGACTCTGATAGAGCGAGGTGGTCATAGTCAGCCGAAGCGGAGAAAGCGAGAGGCAGCGAGTGGTCGTCGCTCGCTATTGCTCTCTCTGTTTTTGGGTGCTGCTGCGCGATAATGAAAAAGTGTAATGCACCAAAAAGTGACATAAGGCTGTAAATTAAGCAACAACAACGACAGCGACAACGGGCTTAAACTCTGCCCTGTACATATGTGCTGTGATATACTTGCATACATAAAAATGTATGCGGTACATACATACATAGGTGAGGAAATATATGTGCATATAATCGGTTATTTACAGTTATCTGCATATCCTGATGAGAACCAGCCACTGCCCCAAACTGTGGGGGTTGGTGGGTGGCTTTGGGTGGCTTTGGGTGGCCTTGGGTGGCACTGGCTTTCATCCCGGGGCAGCCTACGTCCGAACGGAGCTCCCGTGAGGGCTTTTTGGGGCCAACTCGTTTATGTTTCGCCATCAAATTAAAAGTCATTTCACTGCAAATTACAAAAATGGTAATCGCGCGTCCAGGTGCCCACATGGGCACATCCACCTCCGGGTTTTATTGAATTCCTGCTCCTGCTAATCGACGCCCTTTGTAAGAAGATCTGCTCAGGGTCGCAGAACAAAATGTCATCTGACATTTTTAGTATATGCTTTACTTTGCCGCAGCTTCTTTTAGATAAATCCTTTACCCTAACTTAATACTGAATGCATTTAAATAAGCAATCTTGAATTAGTCTTTCTTAGCGCACTATAAAGATTTTAGAATAGTCTCTGATACTACATTATATTGAATTTAATTAATAACCGCCTTTGGCGCAATTATGTATCTTTAATTGAGAAAGTATCCCGGTCCGCTCAAATACGCCATATGCAGTGATGCCATTGGAGATGAGACTGCCCCACAGATATGTACCTAATACGAGCTAATGCTAATTTAGAAGGCCATGAGGGAAACCCCAAGTCTGCTCCGCCGAAATTCATCTTTATTGGGTTCTATTTCTCTTGTTGATCTTTCTGCTGGCACCGGGGGCATATGCTGCGTAGGGAGCGGGCCGGACAAAATTTACATAGCCACAGTCGACAAAGTCACAAAAACAACAGCGACCAAAACCGGCTTGCCAGCTCAGCTCACACACGAACAAAACTCACCCACATATGCAGGCCCCACACAAGATAACAGCGGCAACAACAAGAACAGCCGAATACAACAGAAACCGGCTTTTTGTGTGACCTAATATTTGAGCTAACTACTTTGGCAAAAGGCGAACTGAATTCGCACTGGCGAGCGCTCCATGAAGTGAGTTCGCTATTCGCTCGCGATAAGATTAGAGCATGCGAGTATCACAACGGGACGAGGCGAAAAGGGCGCCTTATCGCCAGATAGGCCGCAAAGCAGAGCAGGGAGCTGTCGCCGTGGCAATATCTCGGCCAGCTCCATAAGGAGGCAAACAAAAACACTGCGCTTTGGACGGGTGTTCTTCCAGTGTCCCGAAGGGGGCCCTGCGGGAGGTATACCTAAAATAACAATAGCGAGTTGCCGGAGCAACAACTACTTGATGTTTGCCTTTTATTTGGATTATGTATACGCCGTGTGTGACTTGGCGATGGTGATGGCGCTGATGAGGTACCGTAGTGCCAGGGGGGGAGGTCCAAATCGAACTCGAACTCGAACTCGAAATCGGAATCGGAATCTGAGTGCGAGCGTGAACGTGAATGTGAATTTGAATAGGAATCGGAATCGGAATCTAAATCGGAGGGAGAGTGGAAGCTTTCAGCGTTCGCTCGCATTCGACTTTTTGCACCGGCAAAAAAAACTAAGCTGCCGGCAAATTTTTTTGTGCACACTCTCCGACCGTCCTGGCTCCCCCGCCCCCGCCCCCTCCTCGCCACGGGTGCGGGCTCTCTCTCTGCACTTGACGTGCCCTCTCGCCAGAGTGCTCTAGTGTTTTACATTGCTGTCGTTAGTATTGGCGCCAAACGAGAGCACCTATTGTTGGCATTGCGGCGTTGCCACGCTTCATGGCTTAGATGGGGAGGTAGCCGCCTCGCTTTGTGGAAGAACTTTGTGGGAAGGCTCGTGGGCATCTGCAACGTGTTCCAGATCCTGCCCGATCCGTCCAAGCACTAGATCAGATCACTCCCCCCCTCGCACTGCCCGTACTCCACGTACCGCACATATCCTTCGCAGTCCCACTCGTCGTATTCCCCGTCCTCCTCGGAGTCCACGTCCAGTTGCCCGCCCGCCATTAGAGCCAGCTCAAAGTTACCCTGTCCCCGCCGACTGTGCATGTCCAGAAGAATTTCTCCGTCCGCTCCGAATTCCACGTCGCTGTCCTCATTGAGGTAGTCGTCCTCTCTTAGCTCATCCAGGCGCTCGAGGCTGCCAAGCATGGTGAGTTGGGAAAGACGACAGGAAAGATTCGTGTTTTTGGCAGAGGGCCTGATCGTACTATCGCGGGCAGGTCCACCGCTCTGGGTCCGATTCCTTCCTGGCAGGTGTCGCGGTCTGAAGATGGGAGTCCGCCTATACAGCTTTAGCAGGAGCGTGAGCGCCTTGTTCCTGGCCATGAGCAGCAGCTGCCCCATCCATGGCTGCTTGCGACTGATCAGAAAAGAGGCTCTCATAGCGGGACTAGTTGACTGGAACAGTGTTTCGTGTTTTTCAGTATAATTCAAAGTTCTAGCTCCTCGAGCTGTCAAGCAAACGTCCCATTTAAATACAGTTTGGAAAATCAGTTGAAAACACTATGAGTAAATCTAGATCTGATATGTTTGGGTCCTCGGACAGGAGTTGCAAGAAGAAAGTCGCTCAGGTAGCTGGTCTAAGGCTTCGCGGGAAGCCAAGCTATGTTGTGTGCCGGGGAAAGATGGCTCCCGAACTCACGGAAGTCGATAGCTCGACTGACCTCAGACAACCTTGCAACGTAGCTCTCCAGCAAGGAGTTCAAGACATTATGAAGCACCAACAGAACATAGTTAAACTGGTGGATGGTATGTACAGGGACATCGCTGGGACATCGTCAGAAAGGTTTCGAGCAGAGGAATGATTACACTAACTAGTTGGCCACCGAGTGGTGTGGGCTATGTGAAAAATTTTCAGTTAAGCTAATATTGATTGCGATCCAAGTTTCATACATCCAGTCCATTCCAACCAATGCATTTGTGTGCCCGCGACATTTATTGCTTTACTGCGCTTCAATTGGCATTATCATTTTGTTTTTAATAAATATTTATAAGTGAATACTTTTGTTTTTCTGCTGATAGTACCGGATAGGACGGAGCCCCCCATTGCCCAGCGCAAAAACAACGGCGGCTGATTAAGCCAGCGCAGTCGATGGAGATAAGTTTATATATAGCATTTGGCATATGTTTCCATTGAGTACTAGGTGAAGCGGGCTGAAATATGGTCGAATTTTCATAACTCGACCAACCATCGAACTTTTCTCCTCAGGCTTCTTACTAAAGTCCAAGCTACAGAAGGCTCAATTTCCCTTCTCAGGATGAGAATTCTAAAATGCTTTAGGCGATCGTGTATATGAGCGGAAAAGTATTTACTGCATATGTACATATGTGGGGTCGCAAATGTCTACTTTACTACGTTAAAATCGAATAGTGAAGATTAGAAACTCTGTTAAATGTGTACGAATGAGAACTAAACCTAGTTGACTGGTTCAGGTGTCCCGAGTACCTCGAGTCCGCTGGTAAGGCTTTAAGTTCCGGACTTAAAGTTGGCGCGTCAACGGACTCCTGCCTCCTCTACGTCGGCTGGTGGCTGCGACTGATTTACCCACTTCTAAGCTCGACCAGTTTCCAAATCGTAACACTTTCACGCGCTGCCGCCAAAAGCAACCACATCGCCAGACGGCCGGCCGAGGGTTCCGCGCAGGGGGAGGGCTAGCCAAGCCCCCCTGGGGCCCAGACGCGTCCCTTTCCCACCCATGGCCTGGCATACCCCTTGCGGAAACTCAGAAAGGGGCAACAAAACCTCAGCTGCAAAGGCACGCGACGCAAGGCCGCAGTTGCAGCGACGCGCGCGTCGACCGCGGGACTCATGTGAGTCGCGAGACACGAGTGTCTGTGGGCTCAGATGTAGATACACCACATCCACAGCCACATCCACATCTACATCCACGTCCATATCCACATCCATATACACAACCATATACACATCCAGGTCCACACACGCCTCCCCGTTAAGTTGCTTTTTGCAAACTCTTTGCCAACGCTTTGGATGCTTTTTGTTGTTTGCTTTGCCTCCGCTCCCCGTTCCTATCTATGTCTGTCTCTCACACACACACGGGCAGAGTCTTGAGTAGCGCTCTCGCAGCACTTGTTTCTCTCGCAGGGCTACTCACTGGTGGGTGGGGGTGTGGGAAGGTGTCGGCGCATGGGATGGGGCGCAATTCTCGTTCTCGTTGTCTCTTTGCGTTCGCTTCGTTCGATTTTCGCTACGCTGTTGTTGTCCGAGCGAGAGTCCGTAAAAAGCTTTGTTCGCCAACCGCCAACCGCCAGCTCCGCACCCCGCCGTCAGCCTCCTTCACCCCCCCCAAGAAGGTTTAGTCAGTTTCTTTTTGACTCTCTCAGCTCTCGCGGCTCCTGATGCTGCCGACGCCGACGTCAGCCGCGACCGCGACTGCGACTGCGGCTTGGCCATCGCCGCTTTCATGGGTTCTTGAGCGTATGCAAAAGATTTTTGCACATATTCATCTTTTTGGCCGTTTTCGGTGCGTTTCGCGGAGCTCTGCGGCTCTTGGAGTGTTCGCGCGAATTTCCAGCATTTTTGCGCGCCCAAAGAAATCGTATTTCCCGTGCTTCTGTTCTGGCTCTGGGTCTCTGACCAAATCTTTTGCGTTCTGGGTGAAACCTCGGAGTCCGGGGCAGGGCCGCCTCTAAATTCCTCGACTCAAAATCGGATTTAATTCGCCATATAGAGGCTGCTACTTTCTACACCCTCAATTGCTAAAAAGAACCTAGCTGGAAGGCTCTATGACTTGAACTTTTGTCGTGACATATAGTGCTTCGAGCTACGAAAAATTGACTGTACACGCTTTTCGTGGTTTGGGAAGATTGCGAGTCCGAGCTGCGTGTGGTTCTGTGAGATCTAAAGTGTGCGGAAAGCTTTGCGTAGGACCATTCTCATCCGAAGTGAATAGTGCTTAAGCAAGCAACATTGTCAGTTGGAGTTGGTGCTCTAACCATTGTTCTTACTTCTGGAAAGTTGCAGTTATCTGCCAAATACACTGCAACGCCCTTTAATGCACCCGTTAGTTTGCCCAGCCTGAAAGCAGAGCCGCTGACGATATTGTCTTTCCCCGATGCGGTTCAACAATTTCTGTTCAACTATTCGGAACATTGTGTTTCAGTGTTTGGCGGGTGGAATTGGCGGTGCCGCCGGTCGAACCACTTTACCACCCATAGCGCTTCATGTTAAAAAGCGCTCTTAAACTCTGTGTACTTGTGTGGGCTGTATCGCTACCCATTAATCTGCCCCGCAAACAGTGCAGTCGCCGTCGCCTAACTTTTATTCAGCTGGCTTGGCGTTGCCGCAGCTTTCTCGCCTGTGTTGTTGTACGAACTAGATCGTATCGCAGTTGCCTGTTTTGCTTAGTTTGATGGGGTTTGCTTTGTTTTCCGCGCCCGATTTCATCGTCTGGCGGCGTTTTGAACTTGAAAATTTTGTTGGTCGCTTAGTTTTCCCGTGTTTTCAGCTTTCCGGCATTGTCCTTGCGCCCTCTCTCCAGCTCTCTCCGAGCGGCTCTCTTCGAGGTCCTACCCGGTGTTTAGACAATGCGTGCCCCTATACAAAACACCAGTACCTGGGGTTAGGAATAGCAGTTAGGAGTAGCAGTGGGTGTGTGGGTGTATGTGCGTGCGAATGGATTTGTTTTAGGTAGAAGTGTGGGGTATCTGTGCCATGTGTTGATTGTGTTTGGGCAACATCCAGAGGAGGCAACATCCCAGAGCCAAGAACTTGATTGCACGATTAACTCAGTTTTCTTTGGCTGCACTGTAACATAATTTACTAAATTTAATAGGCTTTTATAAGCCACTGGCAGTTTTCGGATACCACTTTCAGATGCAAAGTCGATGGGATCCAAAAACTGTTGGTATGCTTTTCTCACATGGTCACTAATCGAACGTACTTTATATTTGCAGGTGCTTTTTGACTGTTTGGAACATTTTTAAACATTACGTTAAAACGTTGTTGATACTTACTGAAATATTGTTTTGTTTAACAAATAATAATATAACCACTATAATAATGTCAGCATAATACCAAACGAAGGGAACGAAGATCAGAGCATATTATAATACAAATGTAATAAAAGAAAAACGACAACGATAACAAATTATTTGCCATCAGTTAACTTTTTATTTCAAACATTCTTATTAAAAAATAACTAAATGATTTGAATATAATTTCACGCCAGCAATTCTACGACAAAAATTATAGCAACAACAACAAAATAAAATAGTACAACAAAATAAAGTTATCTTTCAGTTGTATGAAAAAACAAAAAGTGATTTTTAGTTAGTTTCTCAAAATTTAACAAACAAAATTCACAACAAAATTTGGAATACAACAACTACAAACACCGCAACAACAACAACAACAATAACAGCAACAATTACAACCACTGCAACAAAAACAACAACAACAACAACCAACCAACCGATAACAACTTCAAATTCAAGTAAATAAATAGAACAAATAATACGAGTAAAGTTAATAATAAAGAAAACTGTAACCATAATAACGAACCTAATTGAACGAAATAAACCGAGAAATAAATCAAAGCGCAACAAATAACGAATAACACAACCAAAAGGAAACAGCCAACTAACCAGGCAAACAAATTAAAGCAAGCAAACGAAAATAGACACACGAAATAGCCAACAAAACCCAACAAGAAACAGCAACAGCAACAGCAGAAGAACAAAGCAGCCGAAACAAACGAAAATAGCAACCGAAGCCAATACAAAACCAATCGAAACAGAATCAGAACCAGAATCACAACCAGAACCAGAAATAGCCTTACAACCCGCCTCCAAACCAACCCAATAGCAGAATTCAACATATATAACCGATAACTAAATCCGATAACAGGATAACAAATAGAAAATAGAGCAACGAAACAGAAACAGCAACAGCAACAGCAAAGGAAAATGCAACAGCAAAAGTGAAAACTGAAATTCAAAACCAAAAGCCAATCAAACAAAAAATAAATACAAAAACGGAAATAGCCAAAATTTGTTAAATTTATTTTGTGTGTTTTCAACGGGAAAAAAGCAAAACTGTAACTAAAACATAACGGAAATAAATATAAAGCCAAAAACATTTGTCGTTTAACAAATTGAAACTCTTGCTTTTGCTTATTTACATATTCGCTTAAGTCCTTAAATTTTGCGTTCGTCAAAAAAGCGGTCGAGAAAATGTTCTGAAAAAGTTTGAATAAATCGAGCTGAATAACACTTTATAAACTTTGAGAGGTGAAGCAATCGAAATAAAGAAGGAAGCGGCGAAAACCATTTCGCAAGTGGAGAGCAAAAAACTGTAGAAACAGTTTTGTGCCAAAGTTGCGCAATCACAAGTGTACATTTGTGAATGTCTGTGTGGACCGCGTCAGTGCCAGGAGCCACGTTGTACCGAGGAGAAGATAAATCCGATCGAAGAACATCTCTTTACAATATCAATATATATCCACATACAAATTATCTAAAATTGTTCATATCGTGGCAAAAGCCAAGTATGATTATGATCTAAAGGCATGTAAAATCCGTTTCGTCGAAAGCATTTCGTACTTACAAGAAATTAACCTAACACTAGTAGTGAGAAAAAGATAAACAAAAACCAAATAAAATTCCATTCAGATAGGAGGAACGATCTAGACTAAACATCAAAGTATATTACTATAACAATAAAACACAAGTTTTTGACGATCTTAAAAGTATAGGGAAGGAGTATTTCTGGTATAAGCTAACAATCCCACACCCATAGGCATCGTAGCAAAAGAAAACCTTCGAATGGAGTGATCTTTGCATGTCAATTTGGTGAGTACATTTTGCATTTCATCCTCTTACGCCTAAATTTACGCCTAAATAATTGTAAGTTCCGGCTAGGAAATATAAAAAATATATATAAACTTCTGAGATGAAAAAGTTGCTAAAGTTCATGTTACTTTACTTTTGAAGTAGTTGAGTATTTTCGATTATTGAACGTCCAAGTTCTGGAAGGTAGAGATTTTGCTTATGTAGGTCAAAGTCCTTTAACTATATTTTCTAATGTATTTACCTATACAATTAGAACTTTGGGATATTTTAGTCGGACAGAATCGTTTCTTGTACACCTTCAAGAATGTTTTGTATATACTTGTATTAATCTTAAGTTGGTCGCAATATGCAATTCAGGATTGGGATTGGCATTGGGATTTAGAAGCAAAGCCTCTTTGAAAACTAAAATGATTTCCTAAGCTACTTTACTGCGTGTAGGCTGTAAGCTTGAGAAATACGTTACGATCTATAAAACTATTCGATCTATAATTCAAAACGACCAAAATGAGTATAAGAGGTCCCGTGTGACAAGCCCCACATGCGCATATTTGTAGGTGTCCAGTACATATGCGTGTGTATGTATGTATGAGGTCCATGTACAGTATGTCCAGCTTGGCGTGCTCATCTACATGCAAATTTCACTTACGCGCAAAAAATTAATTATTGAAAAAATGTGCGCGGGCACCCGAGGACCGCGAGGCCGAGATACAACGGCGGGGGTGGTGGTGGGTGGCCATTGGCAATCGAAATACAAAGGTCGAAAGGATGAGCGTTCGCAGCAGCAGCAGCATCAGCAGCATCGCAGCAGCCGCAGCAAAAAAGCAACCTTTACACGTATTTTAAATGAATTGAAATAAAATTCGTATATAAAAACGCTCGTAAGTGTGTGCACGAGTATGTGGCCGTTGAAGTACAGTTGACTCCACACATTTTTAACGGAAAATGGCAGGCAAGCAGCATTCGCAGCGACCGCGGCAGAGGCGGCGGCAGAGGCGTGGGCAGTGGGAGCGACTGGGGGATGGGGTTGGGGGTTGGGGCGTTGATGGGGAGCCCCTGAAAGGGGTTGCCCGGCCGAACGGTCAGTTGCCGAGAGTCCTGCCGCACGAGGATGTGCAACAGGGACGGAGAGTGTCTGCGTCTGCCATTCGGCACCCCTCTATCTACGCCCCTCTCTGCTCCACCAGAAAGTAGCTGCAGTTTTTAATGTGCTGAAGCTGACGATGCGATGCGTCGCCCAAAAGAGCGCAATTATATTTCCGCTCTCTATCTCTGGGAATCTGCATTTGTAGCTGTATCTGCAGCTGTACGTGTGGGCCATGTCATTAATGACAAGTTTAATTTACATTCGCGAGCTTCTTTTTCCCTTTTCGAAATTGCTGCTGCGCTTGCAGTTGGCAACAGTGGAGCCGCCCAGAAGACCCCATCCGAAGCGACCCAACCTACCAACCAACCAGCCACCACCCACCAACCCGCTGAACCGCGCGCAAATTGCATTTTTCGGTTGCATTCTTTTCCATGCCATTTCACTTAATTTTATTGCAGCTGCTGCGTATATTTTTCTGTCTCTGCGCGTTTTTTGCCATGTCATTGAATGTAGTTTCTAGAGTCTAGAGCAAACGTGACATGTCATTAACGGGGGGCTGGGGCGCTGGCAGCTCTGGATTTTGTTTATAACATCAGAATTAATTGTAAGTCGGTGTTTTTTTGCGTTGCCGAAGGTTACTTCTGCCCCCTAAAACAAGGTGTTGACGAGTGTTCCCTTGGTTGTACCTGATTCATATACTTCTAATCCTGTCACACGTGAGCCCTTCACGTGCATCCGTAAAAATGTTTGGCCCGTTTCAACCAGCTCTAATTATCCCCTCAACTTATTCAAGAGCGCTCTCATGAATATTCAAAACAAACATTCCGCTTGACACATCCATGCGAATCAGTCTCAACTGCCACGCTAGTGAAAGTTGTGAAAGGCAGCAACTAGAACGGCTATATTGGTGGCAAATTCCAAGCGGAGGACAGCGTATGAGAGCTTATAGAGCTCCCATGAGCGGAGTGGATGGTTGGGTGCCTCTCTACCTAATTGCAATGGAGGGCTTTCGCCGGCCTTGGGTGGGTGGCGGAGTGGGTGCCCAGATACATAGATGCTCAGATACATGGATAGCTTGATAAAAAGATGGATGTATGCATTCACTTGGATCAACTGGGCCGGAAGTTTGGTGGCATCCGAGAATTGTATCTTTCTAGTAGCGAGTACCAATGTGTGGGGTATGGAGTTTTGGAGTATTTAGTACTTAGCGCAATGCTCGGGGGCGAAATGAGTAGGGGAACAGTTGGCTGATTAAAAAAAAGTTTTATAAAGAGGCTCGGGATGATAAAAACCATGCACAGAAACCCTCCACTTTCTGCTAGCACCTCCAACCACGCCCACGAGCGCACACTCAGGTTGAACAACAAAAGATGGAAAAACTTATTTCTTGTATTCCTTATTTTATTTAAAATAAACGACACAAAATATGGCGCAGTCCAGGGTTGGCCAATGCATGTCAACAGCCTATCGCGAGGCAGCACGGGGCGTATGCGTAACATTTTCATACGCCCGTACTGAGATCGTCCGGTCGTCTTTCTCTGAAGGGGTGACAGGGGTAGGGGCCTGGATTGGAAGGTGGGGGTGGGGTGGAGTGGGTGCTTCCAATATTCACATGGCGCTGTTGTCGTTAGTTGCCATGCAATAAACATTTCGTCAGCGTACAAAGGTTCGGAGGTGGCAGGTGGCAGCGGAATTTGGATGGCTGCAATGGCTTAGAAATGAAGAGAATAAATGACTTGATCCCTTATTGTCAGGGAGTCAAGTGAGTTGAACGCAGATTTGAAATGGCGATTGGTGTTATTTAGGTACCACCACACCATATCAGACAAGAGAATTCTTTTAATAAGGTGATGTCAAAAATGAAAAGCCTTTCCTTCCATGTATGCATAGTTGCATAGTCCCCTGCAGCGTGTTGAATAAAACAAAAACTTGCATTTAGCATTTGCAAATGCTTACTGATTCCAACCCAGTCTGCCTCACACTTTTGTTTCACTGTTTCTCTGAAATTCCGACTACGTCTACGGGAAAATGGATTCAGCGCAAAGGAGCTAGGGGCATGCGGCATTTCTCCGGGGACAATGCAGCCAGACTCTAACCCACTCCAACCCAACCCCAGCACTCGTAAACTTGCAGACTGCCGCCCAGAGGAACATTGTGGGGCCGTTGGAGACGCAGCTATAACATTTGAAACATGCAACTGCATTTAAATGCAGTGCAGACTTTGTTAGCAGCCTTAAACGGGTAATGCACTGTCTGTTTTTTGTTGCCGCATAATCGGCTCATTTGATTTAAGGTTGAAGTGGGTGGCAATGCGGTTGGGATGGGATGGCAAATTTGGCTATAACTCAGATCAGCTAATTGATGTACTGGAGACCAGAGTGTGGCACAATTTTAGCCTTTTCAGTGTCTCGATTTCGCGCGGATATTCTCCACCTCAACTATCTTTTATCTGGTTTTGGCCGAAAAATGAAGCGAAGGGAAGACTCAGTGTCGTATCCCGCAGTTTTCACTTTTAAAGAAGGCACACCAGAGCTTTAGGGAAGCAGAAATAAATAAAAGAAATGCAATTTTTAGAGCCCTTCACTGAGACAGGTATAAGCAAATATCACAGGCTCAAACAAATAGTCAACATCCCTAGCTGACTTTGAATTTGACACACTCCCCAAAATTGCCCTTAAAAGTTCGCAGACGTAAAAATGGGCACCCCCAACTTCAGTCTATACAGCCACTGCCGCCGAGAAACTATGTCAAAACTCATTTTGTTCTCCACGATATTTTTGGCACAACATCTGAAAGTGTTTCCGCTTTGGCAGTATAAGTGGCAGTGGAGGGCGTATTAAGGGAACAGCGTTGGGGGAAATGTCTCATACACTGGGAAGAACTTTCATTTAAGTATTTGTATAACTAAGAATGTTATTTTGGAATATAGAGTGCATTTTTCGAGTGCTAACTTTGGGTAACTTTATTTTGGTAATAGGCAGGCTACACATTCGCGCCATTTTGTTTATGCGATGCCAATTTCATGAATTCATATCATAAAATGGTGAGAGTCGTTTACGTAATTTTTGATAATGCGATACATAAAACCTACTGCAATGCATCACCTACTGTGATGCCTGTGTGTTTACAGCCACATTTTTAGGAAAAATGCTAAATTCCTAAACTAAATTGTTGCGGTAAACTTATACTTTGTTAATTTTTAAAAAGCTTGTTATGTGGTGCATCAATATTTTAAAGTTCCATTGAAACTAGATACTGAGGGTCGGTTGAAAGGTGTGCGACCCGCCACTAATCCTATTACTTACAAAAATGCCATTAAACGGTAAGACCCATGAGTCGGTCTCTCGAAGTGGTGTAGATGAGGGTGCCGGGGACACAGAGCAACTGGACAACTGGAGAAACCTACTGTTTTGTGCGTTGAGAGGCTTTTGTTGGGTGCGTGCGGATTTTCACACTACGCATGGACTAATCGGAGGACTGATGACAAAGTAGCCTGGGCGAAGTGGGAATACGCAGGGCTGCATCTATTGGCACCTGCCAACTGTTCTAGGGGCTGTTGGGTCCGCCCTTTTCTTGGATACTTGTGGCACCTAAGCTGTTGGCCATTCGCTGTTTCCCTAGATTTAAACATATTTCGCTAAATTGCATTTTTGCAGTCATTTAAAGTAATTGCATTAGACTCGTTTGACATGTTGCTTTGAGTCCAGAGCGGCACAGTGGCGGTGGGAGGAGAAACACCCATGTAAAACCATAAACTATTCGGACCACATGGGAAATAAATCAGCGGTGGGGGTGTATAAAGATTTGAATTCATTTTATTTTAATACGAATAATAAAAATAATTATATCAGTATGCATCCGACACATTCGACGAGCTATATATTGATAACACTCACAGACCATTTTTCTAACGAAA